TGATTCTATATACATATACCATTTTTTTTCAGGTTAGGACAGATTAATTAATGATTTTACCGCAAGAATGTCTATCTAAAGAAGAAAAGAAAGAAAATGAAGCAACGTCGAGATACGGGAACAAAGAGATTCATTAAAAAAGCTGGATCCTTTCCTTGCCAATGCTGTCAGAATATAATAATCGTGATCAAGGCTAAGCAGTAAGGGAACATTTTGGAATGTATATAAAGGGGGAAAGTCTACCGCTCATAGCAGACACTTATTATTTACTGTATATTGCAGACATTCATTTCTTACCACTTAATCAATTTAGTCCGTGTGATTTTTTTTTCCCTGGTACGGCAGACAGTCAACCGGCGAGACGAGATATGCCACCATTGCAATCCGCAAAGGGCCTAGAACTGTAAGTTGTATGTCTTTATATTAGTTTTATTTTTCTGTTTTTGGGGCCAAGAGACTTCATTTTAGTACATTATATTTATTTATATACATATCAATTCCACAATCAAGCATAACATAACTAATTTTCATGTTAATTCACACATAAACTTAATAACATGTTTTACTTCCCTCCATATTTGAACTCGTATGATGAATTTTGTTATGAAGTATAATTTTATTTAATTATATTATTTATTTGTGTGCTGAATTTTAATATAATTTTCATTTAATTGATGTGAAAACTGAATGGGTAAACATTCGGAAGCTTGGCCCTAGGTGGAGGGCCTATTTGTAATTTCCTAATTTTAAGTTTCTTGCTTTTCGGTGTTTACGAAAGAAGATACTAATTTGCTATCGCTCTCAAAAAAGCAAAATATTCTGCTCAAAATCACATGTGCCCCCTCCGCTTTCATTTTTTAATCTTATTAACCCCTATAACAAATTGCAATGTTTCATGTTAAAATAGGTTATAATATATGGGTGTGTGTCATTTTAATAAAATCAACGATATATGTGAAGAATTTAAAATAGAGTAATTACTTTATTCTCCGTCATCGTTGGTGCCTTTTGCTAAAGCCTGCTTTAAAACGTATTTTATCTTTATTTTCTCCCTTATTCTTAATTGACGAAGACTTTGTATAGAATAAGATGTGCAGAATTGCAGAAAGTAAAATTCCTCAGAAAGACTTCAGAACATAGCTTGTGTAAAAATTTTGAGTTACTAAGTGTGTTTTTAGTTTTTTCAGAGGGCTGCTCAGTGTTTTTTGACGATTTAATTAGAAGGAACGTTTTGAAGCAAATCTAAGTGTGCAAGTCCCGACTTAGAGAAGCTATGGACGTATATATAATGTGTTCCTTTCTTTAAGTAGTCCAACACATGATGTTATGTGAGAAAAAATTATCAGATTGTAACTTTCTTTTGCTGGTCTGAGAATCTTTTTGGTTTGATTGTAATATTTTCATCTGTTGTTTTACATTTCTTTGAGCATTTGTACCAATCAATGATCTTATGATTCTGACACAGGATGGACATTGTAGGAAAATCAAGCGAGAAAATGGATAATGGCAAGCATGTTCCACTTGACATTGACAAATTAGCAGAGTCTGTGCAAGGAAAGTTGAAAATCTTGCGTTCTTTCTCTGATAAGTGTTCCATCTATAGAGTTCCTGGACGGCTACGTGAGCTAAATAAAAAGGCTTACACACCTCAAGTGATCTCCATCGGCCCACTTCACCATGGGAAAGAAGAGCTAAAAGAAATGGAAGAGCATAAGAGGCTTGACCTGACGGAATTTCTTGAAAAGGGCAGGGTAAGTGTGAAGGATTATATTGCAGCTATTTCAGAGAAGGAGACTAGATTGCGTAATTGTTATGCAGAAACCTTAGAAAATCTAAGTCAAGAGGAATTTGTGGAAATGATGCTACTCGATTGCTCCTTTGTCATTATGTTCTTACTGAAATGGTGTCCCTCTGGTATTTCAAGCAGCAGAAATGACCGCATATTCGATAAACCTTGGATGAGAGAAGAAATAAGGTACGATTTGTGCTTGCTTGAAAATCAGCTTCCTTTCTTCATTCTTGAGGACTTGCTTAAGCTATCCAAAATACAGCACAGTCAGGAGGAATATTCCATGATGAAGCTTACTCATGAGTTCTTACATGATTTATGGGATATGTGGGTGCCAAACGACATTTTGGAGCAAATCAATTCCTCAGAAGTAAATCATTTTGTTGATTTTGTAAGAATCTGTCAGCAGCCAACTGATCAGCGGACTCAACGTAAGGAACTTAAAACTCTAATCGCACCCAGTGTAGCAGAGCTCTATCAAGTTAGAATCAAGTTTAAGTTAAGGTTTAACAAAAACCTATTTGACATAAAATTTGATGTTAGTAAAGGGACATTGGAAATTCCACAGTTGAAAATATATGATTCTACGAAATCCTATTTAGAAATCTCCAAGCCTTCGATCAATGCAATTACAGTTATGATAAATATGTAAATGAGTATATTACCATGCTTGGTTTGCTTGTTCGTGCTGCTAAGGATGTGGAAATACTCGTTAAAAAAGAAATTATAGAAAATTAGCTTTATGGTAATGATGCAGTTTTAAAGCTTTTCAAAAATCTTGATAATGAAAATCTTATCAACATCGAGAATTTTTACTTTTTTGATCTTGTTAAAGATATGAACAAGTACCACGTAAAGCGAAGACACGAGATGGAAGGCAAGTTTGAAGCAAAATTATTTCTATAATCCATGGGTTTCCATATCCGTTGTAGCAGTTGCTATTCTTCTAATACTTACTCGTCATATAAACAAGTGTGTTCTATCTTTCAAGCTAAATAGGTTCTTCCATTTCAATGTTCCTGTTAATTCAAAAATGTATTCTATTATAGTTTCTTATGAAATTGCAATGTATTCTCCAGGAACTAATGAAGGTTCAGTTTCTTCCATGTCTTGTTTTTTCCTCTGTAACATTCTTAGTATCAATCGAACCGCAATTGATTAATTAGTCAAATATAGATCACGAAATGAAACTATAAATGCAATCAGTCGCAAAGAATATGGACTATTGAAACTGCTTCTTACTGATATATTGATTGATACTGGACAGATCATGAAATAAAATATTTACGGCAAATTAAAACATTTCTTGCTCGTGGACAAGTCCTATCATATGCAACAAACAATCCTTGCCTTGAAAGTCATCTACTTCTACCCTCCCTAAATTCCGGCGACTCCTGGGTCTCAAGAAGATTTAACAGTCTACTTCTTGCCTAAAACGAGTTTTTATTAGACCAGGGTTGGGGTGCTAATTTTTTTTTTTTTTCTTGTTGTGTTTCGATTTTGTAGCAGCAATAATATCCTTGAGCTCATTTTCACATAATTAGATTAAAAATTTTAAAATTCAAAAAATATATATTAATTATAATAATAATAAAAATAACTAAAATTACGTTTCCAGACAATTTAGTCCAATTTTTTTTCGTGAAATAAATTTTAATTGTGTCAAGATTAGCCTACATGAATTTAGGTTTTTCTAACATGAATTTGCATGATTTTATTGAATTTTTAAGCCCATCAGCCTGGTTCTTGAGCTGCTCAGCCCACAGAACCTCGGCCTGTCTATCCTACTGTACAACCTGTGGCCCAACAGCCTGACTCACTTGTGCCCATCCATCTTCCTCACCTTCTGTACAACCCATGGGCTAACGGGCTGCCTTTCTTGAGCTCACTTTTCCCACTCAGCCCATAGTCCATTCATCCAGTGGGGGACATCCAATGATAGCCAGGTCTAAAACAGGTAGTTTAAAGCCTAAAACCTTTGTTAGTTCTACCGTGCCAATCCAGAACCCTCAATCATACTCTCAGGCAGCAAAGCATGACCTCTTTTGCAGGGCCATGCCAGAGGAAATTAATGCCTCGATAGGCAATGGTTCATGAGACTTGGTACTACCTTCTTTCTCACAGAATGTGGTGGGCTATAAATGGATTTATTGCACCGAACAGCGAGCTGATGACAGTATTAAAGTGACACAAAGCTCGACTTGTTGCAAAAAGATTTTATTAGCGTACTGGCCTTGATTACACTGAAAATTTCTCATCAGATGCAAAGCCCGCCACTATCAGACTTCTCCTGTCTCTTGCTGTTTCCAAATGTTGAGAGGATAAGCAATTGGATATTTCTAATGCATTTCTTTATCACACTCTTGATGAGCAATTTTTTATGGCTCATAGCCTCAGGGAGTTGTTGATTTGACCAAACCAAATCATGTATGTAGGTCGAAGAAAAGTCTTTATGGTCTCAAACAAGCACCTTGATCCTGGTTTTGATGCCTTTCAAATGCATTATTAGGTCTTGGTTTTGTAGGCTTTAAGACTGGTTCGTCTTTATTCTCATATTAGCAAAGTGACACTCATGTCTATTACTTGGTTTATGTTGATGATGTTGTGCTTACTGTGAGCTGTTCGTCCTTGTTGGCCTCTATTGTTAATGTTTTAAAACAACACTATTCTCTTAAAGATCCATGAATTAGCTTTATGCTTTCTATGCTTGATTGAGAGTTTAGGAATGGCATATGTTCTTATCAATTTTTAATCACTCAATCAATTTAATAAAGACTAAAAATTTACAGAGACGGCTTGTTGAGTATTCATACAATATTGCTACAGCCGCAGTAGCATAGAACACTATATCTTTAACAGCAACAAGTCCAAGAACAAACAGTTAGGAGGAAACAATAATAAAACTTGACCCTTCTTATTTTATATACAGATACCATGCATGCTTCAATCATTTTTAGGTTAGGACAGATTAATTGATGAGTTTCCAAGATTTTACATCAAGAATCTCTCTCTAGACAAGAAAAGAAGAAATAAAGTAACTTCTCAATAGTTAATGCATCAATCCTTTCCTTGCCAATGTTATTGAAATACAATAATTAATCGTGATCACTGCTAAGAAGCAAGCGAACATTTTGGAATGTATATAAAGAGGCAGAGTCTACCGCTCGTGGCAGACATGCGCCTAATTTTGGTTATTGCAGACGTTCATTAGTTAGTTCCTGCGATGTATATAAAGATGCTTCACATGACTATCCAACAGATCAACTGCTAGTTTGGAACCCGTCTCAACCAGAATCTGTCTATAATCTCCACCCCAAGCCTGTCAGAATCCCCCATAGCTCTACACAAAGGACAGAGCACACGCCGATATGGAAAGTTGTTAAATTGGGATAGTTAATTTGTCAAATAAGCCAAGTGAATCTTATACCATATTGTCATATTTACTTCCATGTTATGTTACTTGAAAATTAAATTTAAGTAAAAACAAAATATTTTTATTAATATGATTATGGAAACTTAATTTATGTATTTTCTATCTAACATTGAAACAATATATTAAAATAATTAAAAAAATATTAAATTCATGATTTAATGTCACAATAAACCATCTTATTACTGGTAAAAGAATTATCTTGATGATGGAAATTTGAATCTGAATTCATATGAGTAGTTGCACTTGAATCAGTAGGTAGAGAATAGTAATATAATGAGACGAGGCAAAGTTGTTATATGAGTGTGGACCAAAGTGAAGACTAGCAAAATTTGTAGGTATGATGTCAGAGTCATCGTTACGAATAAACCGTAAATGACAAGTATTTGTCCACAAACAAGATCAATTCAGTCCATGTGATTTTTTTTACTGGTGTGGCAGACTGTTATCCCGTGAAACGAGAAATCCAACTATTGCGAGAGCAAGAGCTCTAAATTGGTACTTGTTGAGGGCCTAGACCTGTAAGTTGTTTTTTTTTTTTTTAATTATTATTTTTGCAAATTTGTATTTTATATTATTTGTATTTTTCTGTTTTTGATCCAAGGGACTTCTTTTAGTACATTATATTTATTTATTAATTCCCATATACACTTAATAATATGTTTTTTACTTCCCTCCATGTTTGAACTCACACCATGAATTTTGTTATCTATTTAATTTTGTTATTTATTTGTGTGCTGAATTTTAAAACATTTTTCATTTAATTGAAACTTTTTGGCACAAAAGGAATTAGAAAATGTTTTCGTTTAAATATGTGACTTTCACGTGCTGGGAGTTAATGTGAAAATTTAATGGGTAAATATATAGGGGGTAAGATTGCAATTATTAGGGGATGAGAGGAGCACATTCGAAAGCTTGGCCATAGATAGAGGGCCTGTTTGTAATTTCACAATTTTAAGTTTCTTGCTTTTTGGTGTTTGCGAAGGAAGATACTATTTTGCTATTACCTCCCAAAAAAGCAAAAATGCATATGTGCCCCCTCCACTTTCATTTTTTAGTCTTATTAACCCCTTTAACAAATTTCCGTCTATAGCAGTCCTTCTATGTTGACCCATAGGCGTCAGACTTAGATCAAAGATGCAAGTAATGACACATCTATTAACATGTTGACCCACATGGCTGTGATAAAAGTATATTAAATTAAATTAAAAAAATTAGCAAGTGAATATTTGTATTTTATGAATTGAAAATTATCGTGAATTTTATTTGGTAACATCAAGTGATTTTCATCCAAAAATATTATCTGTAACTCCAACTATTTCAAATATTCAAGAGGAAAAACCCTTTGCGTTTTTATGGGCCAGAGTTGGCCTGCATAAACATTTTCCCTCTCTTGTTGTGTTTCAGTTTCGTGGTAGAAGCAATCTTGTGCTCACTTTCGCTCAAGACTAAGATTATATTTTCGATCTCATTAAATATATATTTGTAATGCGCTTGCATGCATTAAAAAATAAATTGCATACGCTTGCTCAGCCTAGAGTGGCTCTAATGCCATGAAGAAGTTTATATTCAAGTTTTTATTCAACAAGATTATAGCACAATGACATCAAAACATATAAATCAAATGTTTCTATTATACCCACGTTGATATATTGAAAGGGCATATATATATATATATAATTTTAGATTTTATTTCTTTAACATTTCTTTTTTAAATTTTTAAACCCATACCAAATACAACCTTAGGATTAGAAAATTTATTAGAATTTTACTAGATATGACCTAACTTCATATTTGAATTTTGGTGATTAAAAAAAGAGTACATTCTATTAATAATCAAACCAATACCTCAAGTTGAAAATTAAGTGATCCCAAATCTTAAAAACTAAGAAAAATATAAATTGAAAATGATATCAAAGTATAAAAGCACCTCCAATCCCTCTTATAAATACTCAAAGACATGAGAGTTGAGATAGATTGGGAAATGACAGTTCATGTATTTTATATAATTAAAAGATCTGAGGCAAATAAACAGTAAAATACTATTTATTTATTGTTCATTTACCTTAATTCATCGTTCATCATGTGGTATTGTTGTAATTTCTTAGAATTTTTTTTTTCATGTATCACTGCCGCACAACGCCTGCCATTTTTCTTTGAAAAAAAAAACCAGGAGTGAGCCTGGCCTATATACATGTATCAACCAGGCGCTTATATACATATAAGCCCGAGCCTGCGCCTGGTTGATATATATATATATATAAACCAGGAGTGAGCCTGGCCTATATACATGTATCAACCAGGCGCTTATATACATATAAGCCCGAGCCTGCGCCTGGTTGATATATATATATATATATCAGGCCTCTTTTTTATTTTTTTTCTTCCTATAAAATTACTGAAAAAATTAAAATATCTGAGACTGTTACTATTCATTTACTGTAATAATATATTTTTTTTTTTTTGCCTTTGGGTTGAACGGCCAAGGCTGCCTGGGGTATGGGCCTATCCTGGCAGCGCCTGGCCCTCTCCTTTTTTTTTTTTTTTCCTATATATATATATATATATATGTGTGTGTGTGTGTGTGTGTGTTATCAATAAAATTAAGTGTGAAAAATATTAATAACTAAAATAAATTAAACTAGAATTTACTTTATTAAAGTAAGTTCTTGATTTGAAAATTTACCTTGATTTTTTTTCTTAAAATAATTATGTGGTACCTTCATCCGAGATGGATAAATAAATTAAGTGACTAGAAAGCAAAATTAACCAACTTAGAAGTATTACTTATAAACTAAAATGCTTGATGGTTTCACTGTTCAAATGAAAGGTGAAACCATCACGCAGTTGCACTATTTATTTGAACAATATATATATATATATATATATATATATTTTACTCTCAACTATACTACTCAATCTTAGTTTTTTTTTTCTTTTTTTTTAAATTTTCATTCTTATTTGTTTTCTTACATAATGTTTTGAAAGAATTTCCTAATTATTCAAATGCAAATTTTTATGCTAATATTATTAAATATTTTATTAATAAATATATATATAAATCAAATGATTTCGCTCAATATATACATTCGATTTACATTAATAATCGAAAAAAAAATTTTATTCACAATATATCATACGAATCATTACCGTCACGTATATAACATATGTTTGATCGGCACGTAACGTGGGTACTCGTCTGGTTAATCTCTAAACAAAGAGACCTTCAGATTTGTGCAGCTTCACAACTACATTTTGACAGCACTTGACACAAGTATTCAGAAATCAGATATCGTGATATCTTAAATAATTAATACCACAAAAAATTGCATGTATGAAGAAATTTTATAAAGCAACTAGAAACGGTAGAGTGTGGACAGAAATAAAGCAAATAAGATAGTACCGATTTGCAGGTGAAGGAATAAGTGTGAAAAAAGGGTTTGTTCTTCTACCATTTAATGTTATCATGAACGGGTGTCAGATGGTCGTAAACTCATAATTTAATGACTTGAATTGTTGGAGTTGCACCTGCCCCACCTGTGTAGACTTCACACCAGAGATTCCAAGTGTATTTAACATGACAAGAGACAAGTTCGGTTTTTACCATCAACTCCATGTGATCACAACTTTTATTAAATTAAACTTATTTTATGTAATTGATTTATTTTTTTTTGTTAAAAAAAAAATGGTGAAGTAAGCGATGGCTTAGCGGATGTTTGAGATTCTCTTGGAAAAGTTATTTAAGATGTCAAATTTTTTTTTTTTTTTGGGTAAGCTAATGCTTCTCAAATTCCAAAAAATCTCAAATGTTTTGGGACATTAGATTGCTTGAAATCTAAGTATTTAATTTCTTCTAAAATGAAGGGAATCTGAAATGCCATGGATTTGTATATCGTGAACCTTTTTTAATTCATGTCTTTACAATTTTTACTTTTTTTCATTTCATTAAGCTAAAAAAATTATTTTATGAGTATTCCAGCCAATATGACCACCGCTCATCAGTAAATATCACCATTCTATCAACAGTCATTAAAAATTCACATCACGTTTAGAGGTTTGACAACCTAATCAAAAATACTTGTTCATAATGAAATTTTGAAAAATATGCTGAGTAACGAGGCAGTATCAAATCTTCTTAATTTACAATCTTGACAAAGAAAGTCTTGGTGATGCTATTTCTGGGTTGTTGTGAAGAGCTGAATGAATATTGCAGAAAGCGTAGGCACAAGTTGAAGGCAACCTTGAAGCAAGTTTATTTCAAAAATCCATACAAAATATTTAATATTTAATCGTTGTCATACAAACGGTGTGCTTTCAATTGTCATAATTATTAATCGCTTTGTACTTTTTTTTCCCCCTTCTTACTCTATATTGACGAAGACTTTGCGTAGAACAAGGAGCGGTGCAGAATTGCAGGAGGAGAAAGGGACAAAAAAAAAAAACTGAGACAAGAAACTTCATCGGAAAAAAATCAGAGCAAATAGACCCCACTTCATAAAGTTGATTTTAGGCCTTGGTTGGAAGACTCTAAATTGACGAAGACTTGGCAGTTGACGAAGACTTTATGTGCAATATAAGAAGAGGTGCAGAATTGGAGGAGGAAGAAAAGAGGAACAGACAACAAACTTTTTCAGAAAAAATTCAGAGCATATATTGTGTAAAAAATTTGGAACTACTGTGTGCTTTCTGTTTTTTCAGAAGGCTGCTAAGTGTTTTCCGACAGTCTAGAAGAAAAGTTTTGAAGTAAATGTAAGTGTGTAAGTTTTAATTTAGATAAGCTATGTATTTATTATGTTTTGCTTTCTTAAGTAGCCATATTTGAACTCATATGATGAATTATGTTATTTATTTGTGCGCTGAATTTTAATACATTTTTCATTTAATTGATTTTTATAAATTTGGTAGATGTGTGCATTATTTAGGTGCTAAAAGAAACTTTTTGGCACAAAAGGAATTAGAAAATGTTTTCGTAATAGGTTAAATAGGAGAGAAATGAAATATGTGACTTTCGCGTGCTGGGAGTTAATGTGAAAATGTAATGGGTTAATTATATAAGTCGGTATGATTGCAATGATCAAGGGATGAGATGGATGGCCTATTTGTAATTTCCCAATTTTAAGTTTCTTGCTTTTCGGTGTTTACGAAGGAAGATACTATTATGCTATTACTCCCAAAAAGGCAAAAATACTCTGCTTAAAATCATACGCGCCCCCTCTATTTTCATTTATTAGTCTTATTAACCCCTTTATCAAATTTCGATCTATTAACATGTTGACCCATATGGCTGCGATTAAAATAGATTAAAGTAAATTAAAAATATAAAAATTAACAAGTGAATATTTATGTTTTATGAATTGAAAATTATCGTGAATTTTATTTGCTAAAATCAGATAGAGAGGTCAATAAGGCCAAAAAAAATAAAAATAGAGACACCTCGGGTGATTTTCATCCAAAAAATATTATCAGTGCCTTTTAAATTACTAGATACCCCTATGCTAAGTGCATGGATAACTCTAATTATTTCAAATATTTAAGTGGCAAAGCCTAGCCCTAAATTTACTCCTATATTTGTGCCAATTATTCATTTTTATTTCTATATTTTTAATTTAGTCGATTGACTCTTGCATTCTTTGAATTCATTCAATTAATTCATACAGTCTTCAAATATGTTGAATTAATTCAGTAGTTGACTACCATCAAGACTGGATGCTACCATACATACAAATATGACATTATTAATTTTTATTTATTTATTTGTAAGATAACTTTTTATATTCATGTAAGACTTATTATCACAAAATAAAATGTCTTAAAAATAATAATTGTGTCTGATTTATTTTAATGCAGTTTATTTTTCTAAGACAACTTATTTAGTGATATAGGATTATAGTTCCTACATGAATATAGGTCATATCTTAATGGAAAACATCTAATTGTCACATAATTAACACGAATAGTTAACATTGATAAACGTCTACTATTGAATTAATTGAACAGATTTAAAAAAAAAATACAAGGATTAATTGAACGAAATAAAAAAAATATAAGGGTTAATTGACATTTAATTTAACAAAATTTAACATGGCGTTTGATTAATGGAATGTTGCATCTCCCTCCGGAATCACTGTCTTGGGGAAGTGATTGCCAGGAAAGAAATTCCAAAAAAATTAGAATTTTTGTGTTTGCTTCCAATATAATATTCTTAAGATTACTGTTTATTTATTTGAGAATTCTAAAGATATTTTAAGTAAATTAACATTCTATTCTTAACACTTTGAAGCAAATCTAAGCTTTGTAAGTTCCAATTTAGACAAGCTATGTATTGATAATTATGTGAAAAAAAAACGAAATTTAGATTTGATTTTGACAAAACATTCTTATGGTGTTTCGGGAATCATTTATGTCTTATTGTGATATTTTATTAATGTCCTTTTACATTTGTTTGAGCAGTTTTGACCCTTGCGATTGTTTAGCCACAGGATGGAGAATGCTGGGACATCAAGTGAGAAGATGGGTAATGGAAAGCATGTTTCACTTGACGTTAACAAATTAGCAGAGTCTATGAAAGGAAAGTTGAACATCTTGCGTCCTTTCTCTGATAAGTGTTGCATCTACAGAGTTCCTAAACGACTCCGTGAGTTAAATAAAAAGGCTTATACACCTCAAGTAATCTCCATCGGTCCACTTCACCATGGCAAAGAAGAGCTAAAAGAAATGGAAGAGCATAAGAAACTTTACCTGATGCAATTTCTTGAATGGAGCATGGTGAGTGTTGAGGATTTTATTGCTGCTATTGCACAGAGGGAGGCAAGATTGCGTAATTCTTATGCAGAAACCTTTGAAAATCTAGGTGCAGACGAATTTGTGGAAATGGTGCTGCTGGATTGCTCCTTTGTCCTTGTGTATTTACTCAAAAGACGTTTCTCAAGGTATCGAGACAGCAATACTGACCGCATATTCGATAAACCATGGATGAGTAATGAAATAAGGTTCGATTTGTGCTTGCTTGAAAATCAGCTTCCTTTCTTCATTCTTGAGGACTTGCTTGAGCTATCCAAAATTCAGGAGGAATATTCCATGATTAAGCTTACTCATGCTTTCTTGAGTGATCTATGGGATATGTGGGTGCCGGCCAACACCTTGGGGCAAATCAATACCTCTAATGTAGTTCATTTTGTTGACTTTCTAAGAATATGTCAGCAGCCAGCTCAGCAGACACAGCCTAAACTTGAAACTCTAACGGCACCCAGAGCAACAGAGCTTCATCAAGTTGGAATCAAGTTTAAATTAAGCACTAACAAAAACTTATTTGATATAAAATTTAATGTTAGTAGAGAAATATTGGAAATTCCACATTTGAAAATAGTCGACGATACAGAAATTCTACTCAGAAATCTCCAAGCCTATGAGCAATGCCATTGCGATGATCATTGCATTATAGGTAATTATATCACCATGATCAATTTGATTGTCCGTGCTACCAAGGATGTAAAAATGCTCGCTGAAAAAGGAATTATAGAGAATTGGCTACGTGATGATGATGCAGTTTTATGTCTTTTTCACGGCTTGTCCAATGGAAATCTCATCGCCAGTGACAATTTCTACTTTTCTGGTGTCGTTGATGATCTGAACAAGTATTACAAAAAGCGGACATACAAATGGAAGGCAGAGTTGAAACAAAAGTATTTCGATAGTCCATGGACTATAATCTCTGTTGTACCAGCTGTTGTTCTTCTATTACTAACTTTTATACAGACAATGTGTTCTATTCTTCAAATTAAATAGGCAAGTTTGAAGCAAAATTATTTCTATAATCCATGGGTTTCCATATCTGTTGTAGCAGCTGCTATTCTTCTAATACTTACTGTCATATAAACAGTGTGTTCTATCCTTCAAGCTAAATAGGTTCTTCCATTTCAATGTTCCTGTTAATTTAAAAATGTATTCTATTATAGTTTCTTATGAAATTGCAATGTATTCTCCAGGAACTAATGAAGGTTCAGTTTCTTCCGTGTCTTGTTTTTTCCTCTGTAACATTCTTAGTATCAATCGAACTGCAACTAATGAATTAGTCAAATATAGATCACGAACTGAAACTATAAATGCGATCAGTCATAAAGAATATGGAATATTGAAACTGCTTCTTACTGATATATCGATTGATACTGGACAGATTATGAAATAAAATATTTTACGGCAAATTAAACATTTCTTGCTTGTGGACTAGTCCTATCATATGCAACAAACAATCCTTGCCTTGCAAGTCCTCTACTTCTACCCTCCCTAAATTCCGGCTGCTCCTGGGCCTCAAGAAGATTTAACAGCCTACTTCCTGCATAAAACGAGTTTTTATTAGGCCAGGGGTGGGCTGCTAATTTTTTTTTTTGCTCTTGTTGTGTTTCGATTTTGTAGCAGCAATAATATCCTTGAGCTCATTTTCAAATATTTAGATTAAAAAATTTTAAATTCAAAGAAATTATAATAATTATGATAATAAAAAAAACAAATAAAATTAGGTTTCCAGGCAATTTAGTCCAATTTTTTTTTTTTTTCGTGAAATAAATTTTAATTGCGCCAAGCTCTAAAACAGGTAGTTTAAAACCTAAAACATTTGTAAGTCCTACTGTGCGAATCCAGAACCCTCAATCATACTCTCAGGCACCAAAGCATGACCACTGGCGCAAGGCCATGGTAGAGGAAATTAATGCCTTGGTAGGCAATGATACATGGCGCTTGGTACCACCTTCTTCCTCACAGAAGGAACAAGACTGATCGTGAGAGAGAGAGAGATTGAATTTTGTCTAGGGATTTCGATCCCGATAAGAAAGAGGAAGAAGATTTCAGAGGGTGAGATCATTTGGATCTCAGTCAATTTGAGTTGGCTTTCGAACGGGTAAGGGAGAAGGAAGGAACTTAGGTTGTTTGATTTGGGAAGAACTTCATGGGTTTCTTTTTCAGACGAAAGAGGAGAGAGAAAGAAGAGAGATGAGCAAGGAAGGGAGAGAAGGCTGTTGATAGAAAATGAAAGAGGGATATATTTCGTTCCTGTTTGTGTTTTTTGTTGCATATGATAGGACTAATCCCCGCATTCACCAACACTTCCCCCATCACAGCCACTCATCCAACTAAACACAATTCTAACCATATTAAGCAGTCGTGCACAATTTGATTAGTTATTTGAAACATGAAAAAGCTCAGAAATGGGAATCAACCAATGTTATCCAGCAAAAAATCTAATTAACAGCAAGCCTTTACTGACCCCAAGACCAGTACAGAGCATCTAAATCTAAAAATTAAAGAACCTAATTAAGTACTAAGCCACCGGCACCGAAAAAAATTAATATTGAACCAAACTCAAGATCACTAGCACGAAGACTTGGCCATTAAGCACTAATCACATAAGATTGAAACCACACAGACAAGGAGCACCAAGTTGGCAGAATTAAATTATTAAGTAGATAAAAAAAAAGGGTAATTAAAAGCACCAGCAATTTGAGTTTCAATGAAGCAATGGGTTCAGCTTTGCCCTCTTCGTACGGCGAAGATGGAAGTGGTTCCAGAACAGGAACTTCATCAAGAGCTGACCTCAAAACAACACTTCTTTGTCGATGGTTTATGTAAGAACCGTCACCTCCAATTCGAGTTACATGTGGAGTCGGTGAAGTTCTTTTTAATGTGTGAAATTTGCTGGGAAGTTTACATTTTGTAGAAGAAGAATAAGAAGAGCAAGATACTCGAGGGTGAAGTCGAGAGCTTATAGATGGCATTTTCCCCCCTCTTCATTCGATGCTTTAGGGTCTCGGTCCAGCAAAAGAAAAAACAATGGGTTGGGCTTTGGGGTTAACACATGTGTAAGGAAGACTGGGCTGACCTCAGCCAAGCCCAGTCTTGCCAACCCAAACTGGCTTGCCTAGCAGGCCAGCCCACAAGCTAGTCTGCCTGGCAGGCCATTCCAATGAGCCAGCCCAGTGGGCCAACGGCCCACCCAAAAAATGCCCAATTTTTTTTTTTAAGTTTTATCTTTTTATTTATTTATTTATTTTGTTTTAGATAATTTGTCTTGAATATTTATTTATATATGTTCATTTTATGTTTTAATTTAGATTTTAATATTCTAACTTTGTTGGAATTTATTTTAGCTAATTTTAATTTTAGAATTTTATTTCCACATATATAATTAATGCAATACCATGCTAGAGGAAATTAATGCTTTGACAGGCAATGATACATGAGACTTGGTATCACCTTCTTCCTCACAGAATGTGGCGGGCTGTAAATGGATTTATCGCACCAAACAGCGAGCTGATGGCAATATTAAGCACTGTAAAGTTTGACTTGTTGTAAAAAGATTTTATTAGGGTACTAGCCTTGATTACACTGAAATTTTCTCACCAGCTGTAAAGCCGATCACCATCAGACTTATCTTATCTCTTGCTATTTCCAAATGTTGGGAGGGTAAGCAATTAGATGTTTCCAATGCATTTCTTTATAGCATTCTTGATGAGCATATTAATTTTTATGGCTTAATCTCTGGGATTTGTTGATTTGACCAAACCAAATCATGTATGTAGGCAGAAGAAAAATCTTTATGGTCTCAAGCAAGCACCTTGATCCTGGTTTCGATGCCTTTCAAATGCATTATTAGGTCTTCGTTTTGTAGGCTTTAAGGTTGGTTCCTCTTTATTCTCCTATTAGCAAGGTGACACTCATGCCTATTGCTTATTTTATGTTGATGATGCTGTGCTTACTGTGAGCTCTTCATCCTTTTTGGCCTCTATTGTTACTGTTTTAAAAACAATACTATCCCCATAAAGATCGTGGCCGACTGCATTATTTTCTTGGCATTGAGACTACATGGGATGATAAAAGTGTTCTTCCTATTTGTTCCAAACTTAGACTTACTGTGTCTATGAGTGAGCCTTTCTATGATCCGTCATTGTATCGAAGTGTTATCGGAAGTCTTCAATATCTGATTCTGTCTCGTCCATATGTCTCTTATACTGTTGGCAAGATTAATGCTCAATTTATACATACTTCTACACCTTGATCATTGGTGGGCGGTCAAACGCATTTTGCGATACTTAATGGCTACTCTAACACATGGCAAGTTGCTTAGTCCTTCTTACATGCGTTGCTTTCTCTGCAAAATGGTTAGTATCAATCTGTAATAAGTTAGTTTTAAGGACAAAGCATTATTTGAAAATGGTCTTGGATAGGAACAATTGCATCAGAATTCACTGAGTTTCATTTATATACATACCAATTCCATAAATCAAGCATAACATAACTAATTTTCATGTTAACTCACACATACAGTTATTAATATGTTTTACTTCCCTCCATATTTGAACTCATATGATGAATTTTGTTATGAAGTATAATTTTCAATTGCAATCTATTTAATTTTGTTATTTATTTGTGTGCTGAATTTTAATACATTTTTCATTTAATTGATTTTGTGTGCTACAAGAAACTTTTTGGCGCAAAAGGAATTATAAAATGTTAAATGGGAGGGAGATGAAATAGCTGGGAGTTAATGTGAAAATTTAATGTAATGAGGTACGTACGATTCGTGCTTGCTTGAAAATCAGCTTCCTTTAAGTGTGAAGGATTATATTACAGCTATTTTAAAAGAGGGAGAAACAAATGGAAGGCAGTTTTGAAACAAAAAGTATTTCCATAATCCATGGGCTGTGATTTCTGTTGTAGCAGCTGGTGTTTTTCTAATACTCACTGTCATACAAATAGTGCATTCTATCCTTCATGTTAAATAGGTTCTTCCATTTCAATGTTTCTGTTAGTGCGTTCTATCCTTCATGTTAAATAGGTTCTTCCATTTCAATGTTTCTGTTAGTTTTTACGTCTTGTTTTTCTCTGCAATATGGTAATTAGTATCAATCAAATTCCATTTGAATATTTGGGATCAGTGGCAAAGAAGAAGCGGAACAATGGAACTATAAATACATAAGATTCTATTGAAAGGGGCCGATTTTGAAAGCTGAAGGTCAAGGTTGGCACCTGCTTCTCAAGCACTTCATGCATGTCAATATCCTTGATGTTTAAGACACAGCATAATTACAGCGTATCAACTTTATTATAGTGTATCAATCAAACTGCAATCAATTAGTCAAAATGGAGGTAAAATCATGGAGAAGGGATGGGAAAGATTGAATCTAAGAGTTAATAATATTATAGTGTTTATCCAAACTGAAACCAACAAATATATATCCTGCTTCTTGGAAAGTCCTATCAGAAAACACTACCTGCCTATACAGTTCTGTACCCTGACTTATTTAGCTTGAATGTCGAAATACACTGTATAGATTTCATTTCTGTAGTTCAGTAATGACTCCAGAAGAAATTTCTCGCTGCCCGTTTGCCACAAAACTCATTGGGTGATATTTGCTCATTCCTTTTTTCATTTCAAAGCTGGCCGCCTGAATAACTGTATGATTTGTTTTATCCAAATTGCACTTGAGCTTCAACCTTTCACCTGTATGTTTATTCACCCCACCATACAGAAAGCAACCTTTATGTCTTTCAGCCTCCAATGATACAGTTCCTTTCCTCAGATCCAATCCTGCAACCAAGCGGAACACAGAGTGGCCATGTTTTGCGACCTGAAGATTATGGTTTTTGTCTGTTTCTCGATAAACTACAAGCATACCAGGATGGTCAAAAGGTTCTAGCATCACTGATTTGCCAATAGCATCCATACTTGTAGACAATTTTGAGGAAGATTTGTCAGCAAGGATGAGCCTAAATGTTGAATGCAGAGCAGAATTGTTGCCGGACCGAGAATGGTTTCCCATAGTAATTATATGATTTGAGTTGATCAAGAAAGAGGTTGAGTCTGAGTGTCTAGTTCGTTGGGAAAAGGTAACCAGATGGTCGTTGTAAGCAGCAGGTATTGGAGTTATCCATTCTGAAAGAGAATCAGCTGATACATTTTTTATATTCCAGTCACCAGTCGTATGACCCACAAGTAGATAAGGACCATAAAGTATGGCCTGAATTGAAGCATACTTAGGCCTGTCATCTGAATTTCACGCACTAGAATTTGTCTTTTCATTAGAATCCTTCACATATCAACAAACGTAAACATATATCAGGGTTTCTCATGATATACCTGATTTTCTCTAGTCTTAGACTGATGGGCAGTCGAAGGGTTAATTTGTCATCACGGGTCCAGCGTTGAGTGATCGATAGGAAAGTACCTATATGCATTTCAGAGGGGGAAATAAACAAAATAGCACCATCGTCAAGTCATCAGAATAATCATAACAACGAAATAACACCAGCAAAAAAGAAAGAAAAGCATTATGCTTGTGCTTCACACCTGGAGCTGGAATTTGCAAGCTTTCATCATTAATTGCAGCCTCAGCACCTTCTAAATGTGTCCGAGTTGGTATTCTCAAATTCAAGGCAGATAACTGGCCTTCCCCCTGCGTTATTAGACCCAGAATGAAGAAAGGTTGCTATTTTTCAGCTTCTTTTTTGGTAATTAATTCAGCTGAAGCCTCTCTCAAACTGAATTACATTGATTACTTTCACATGAAAGTAGTGCAATTTCATGAGGAGAATTAGCACGGTTCCAATGGGTTGCATTGTTTGTTTCTCCATGTTCAGCAGAGTTTTTATTACAGAACAGCTGAAACAGAAAGAAAACCTTGAAATGTTCCGATCCTTATGAGAATTTTTTTGTATAACATACCATGTCTAAAGGAAACGTTATTGTCACTCGAAGGTGAGGATCCCAAGAAACAACATGATCAACTTTTTGATTAATCAAAATCTGTCCTGATTTCCATGTAAAAGAGCTTGATATATACTGGATTATGTAAAGACCTGGGACTTCTCCTTCCTCTTCGAAGTCTATGGAATCTCCCAATTTTGAGAATGACTCAACTCCTACATTGACGACAGGAAAGAAAAAACAAAAACAACAGTAAATGGAATGAAGATCAAGTGTTGGCCATTGATTGGAACTAAGAGCAGCAAATTATCAGCCTCCAAGAATCCAATCAGGAATTTGAAGCGAAGATTCAGTAAATGGGAAATGACTCGCACACCTGTACCATAGCAGCACCGAAAACTGTCAAATGGGGTTCCCCATCCATGATGACTTATGGCTTTGCTATTTCCAGGAGCTAGTGGAAGCATGTAAAGCATGACTCCAGGTTCTGTTCCTCCCTGGATACTCAGTATACCAACTGTCAGCGCACGCTCGTAATGATCTGCATATACCACTTCTTTGGTCCATCTAAACAAGTTGCTGGAGATCTGCAAAATTCGAGTACATGTGCTTAAAGCTTTAGCAGGGTTTTAATTACGCAATGAGAAACATATGATCTTGGGTAGCTTGCCAATCGCTTTGGTTCTTTCATTCAGTGAATAGAAAGAGACAGAGAGATTGGAATACCTGCAGCATATTATAAGTTGAACATGATTCTTCTTTCTCAGGGATTAGGTAGCGTGCCAATCGCTTTGGTTCTTTCCAGCACAAAGCATGAGGCAAGGGGATAAACCAATGAAGAATCAAGAAAGAGTTCAAAATGAGCCACTGATAGGTAAGTGGAATGCATGCATTCAAAGATGGGAACAAGTAAAAAGTTTGTGACAGAAAATTGGAAAGAAATGGGAGCAACAAGCCTATTCCTGAAGAGACTAAATTCGAACTCAAAATGGTGCCTATGTCAGTCTTCAGTACCAGTGCTCATCAATTGTTGAGCCACCAGTTGCAAAGGTATGAGAAGAGTTAACAGTCTCCACGAAGAATGTTGCAATTTCCAGCCATATTTGACATTTACAATTAAAATGACACCAGGTTTTGATGAATATGGAAAGCTAAATGATATATAATCCATAAGAAGAAGTTTACCTTATGAACTGGATCAACGGTGATTTTGTACCGTAATTGTGATCCAATAACAATAGGGACATGGCATGGAAATCAAATAGATCATCTTCCTGTGGGCAAAAAGTAGAGCTTAACACAAATTCAAGCACCAATAATCATTTTTGTTTGCAGGAAAAACTTCCATTTTAAGAGCTCGAGTATTATGGGCCATATCATGTTAAAGCAGACAGGTTGAACCATATCATGTTACTTCAGCAAGAATTAAAATTCATAATTGCTTCTCGTGAAACAACTGTAAGTGGAATCTACCTTATGAATGGTGTAATATGGAGCCCAAACATATACTAGCTATATCTTTGACGCGATCGAATTCCTAAGATGGAAAAGCAGAACGGTATCCTGTGCCAATATCCTTTGTACGTAATAGACTACAATAGTATTATAGTAATAGACTATGCTTGTTTTTAGTCTTTTATAATCAACAATAAATTAATAATTATAACATTTTAATTTTATTCAATTTTATCAATGTTTATAATTTAAGGACTTAAAAAATACCTTATGATTAATTTTTTTATTTTTTATAAGATAAAACAAGTTGACGATTTCTGTGGAATAGAGGGATTAACAGCTACCAGCTTTTGCTAAGAAATACAAGCAGTACTGTCTTGTCCAATCATGGAATCAATAGCTCGATCCACACTTATTCAGCTTGAATGTTAAAATAAATAGTATAAAATTCATCTCTCAAACTATGTAATGGTGCAAGAAGAAAATTCCTTTTGTCCCCCTTTGCCACAAAGCTGATTGGATGATATTCACTTAGTCCTTTGTTCATTACAAAGCTGGCTCCCTGATTAAATCCAGTAGCTGATGACCCTGATTTGCAGCTAAGCTTCATGCTTTGACCTGATTTGTGATCCACACCACTGTGTATATAGCAGCCCTTCTGGCTTCCTGATTCCAGAGATATAGTTCCAGCTTTTCCATCCAATCCAGAAACTATGTGGAAGATCGAAGAGCCAGCATCGTCGGCAGAATTTGTGACTGCAAGGCTGCTGTCTTTTCCTTGATGCACTAAAAGCATTCCAGGAAGATTAAATGGTTCAAGCATGACGGATTTGCCGATAACATCTTTACTTCTGGAGACTGTGGAGGAAGAAGAGTTCGTAAAGACAAGTCTGAATGTGGCTTGAAGAGAAGCGTCGGTGCCAGATTTAGGGAATTGTTCCATTGTAATTGATTGGTTTGAATTTGTTAGCACAAAAGTTGAATTCCCAGACTCTTGGGAAAAAGATATGAGCTGTCCATTATAAGAGGCAGGGATTGGTGTTATCGAGTCTGAAAGAGAACTAGCAGATCCAGCTTTGAGGTTCCAGTCTCCACTGGTATGACCAGCAAGTAGGTAAGGACCATAAAGTATTGCCTGAATAGAAGCATACTCGTGCCTGTCATCTGAATGTTGTTCAGAGGATTTTGTTAGTTATATGTCCACCATTATTATAGAAATTACAAAAGTATTTACAAGCAAGAATCCAATGAAATTACCTTTAATGGCCTCTGTTCTCAAACTAATGGGAAGCTGAAGGGTTAATTTGTCGCCACTGCTCCATTTTCTATTGACTGATAAGAAACTACCTGCATCAGAAGCAAAATATTAAAGACAACACCAGGGTTTCCTCCCAAGATGCCAATCAAAAGGTTCCAAATGAGTTCTCCGGTTACACTTAGGAAACAGATTAAATCAAATATGAGAAACATGTAGATTAACAAATAAATAGTCATAAGTGTACTTCACACCTGGAACTGGTAGAGTCAAACTCTCAGAGTTTATTGTTGCGGTAGCACCATCTAAATGTGTCCAAACTGGTATCCGCAAATTCAAGGTAGATGCCTGGCTCGACCCCTGCACAAATCAGATCCATTATGATCAATAGTGACCCTATTTTCGGCCCTTATTCAAAAGTTTCAATTCTTTGAGAAGTTGCATAAAGAAAATGATAATAAGTTCCAGGAAATTTTAGTAGTGTTTTTCCATCCTTTTTCCAACCAAGGAAGATCCAAGTTGAATTTTTTTATAGCAAGTACCTCCTTCAAAAAGTAACACTAGCTTCTGTATGCTCATATGATAGATCAAGTGCAGAAAATACCTCCTCCGGAGAAAAGGTAAACGTCACCCGAAGATAAGGGTCCGAAGAAACAACAGGATCAACTTTCTGATTGAGCACAATCTGTCCAGATTTCCAATCAAGAGAGCTTGATATATACTGAATAATGTAAAGACCTGGGACTTCTCCTTCCTCTTCAAAATATATTGAATCTCCCAGCTTCGAAAATGATTCAATTCCTGTGGTGGCAGCAACAAAAAATAACATCAAATTGTATGTTTCTATTTTTACCAGTAAAAAATTATCAAAAACAGTGAATTGTATTAGCAGGTAAGAAAGGATAAGGAAGGTAACAGATTCCACACCTGTTCCGTAGCAGCACCAAAAAGCATCATTGAATGTCCCCCATCCATGATAGCTTTTGCCTTTGGAACTTCCAGGATGTTGTGGGAGCATGTAAATCATCACGCCAGGCTCTGTTCCTCTTTGGATGCCTAGCACACCATTTGTCAGAGCACGCTCGTAATAATCTGCGTAAGCCATTTCTTTGGTCCATCTGAACAGGTGGCGAGAGACCTGTCGGTTCCAACAAATGTGCAGAGTATTTGAGCAAGAAAATTTACATAACATGAAAATGAAAAAAAACTGTAAGTTAAGTGTCGTATAGATGCCAAAATGTTTGCTGAAATACAGCCTTTACCATCAAAATAAGTTTAAAAAATATCGAAACAAATTCTATGTATCGAGGTACACATGCACAAAAATCCAAATCAGTAAGAAAGAGATGTGAAAGGAGACATACCTTCAGCATATTGTAAGTTGTGCATGATTCCTCAGTTTCTGTCTGTAATGTGCTAGCCAGTCGCTTTGGATCTGACCTGCTCGTACATCAGGCAAAGGTGTCAAAAAAACACATGACAAGAGACCAGTGTGGAATGAGTATGAGAAACCAGATAATCAGATAAATGAAACAAAAAAAAAATTAGCAACCATTTCTATGTAAGTAAAAAGCAAGAATCATCTAATATGAATGCATAGAAATTTTACTTCAAAATATCACTATCAGAATTAACTAAACATGACGATCAGTACCAGAACTCGCTAACAGAAGTTCCTCCAGTTGCATAGCTGTGAGAAGTGTTGACCATATCCATGAAGAAAGTACCCATATCCTGGCAGACCAAATCTATTTTAGGCAGTTTTAAGATCAAAGATCATGCATACATGACTATTCTAACATGAACAGCTATAACTTCATAAATGATAAAACAGTAATCAAAATGCTACATTACTTCATTGAAAATGCTGTTCAGATGGTCTATGATTAAAGAAACTGACCTTATAAAGAGGATCGCCAGTGATTTCATATCTCATCTGTGCACCAACAACAACAGGGATGTGTGTATTGGCATGGAAACCTGATATGTCTTCAGCCTACAAGGAAGAGAAGAAGTGTGTGTGATTTCAAAATCAGAAGTTTGTTTTCTCAAAGGAAACTATACTTATCAGCAAAAGCAGGGGAAAAACCTGCAAAATCAGAAGACAAACACCAGCCAAAAGCTCATAAGCTGCAATAGGTAGTCATAAATTACCTGTACTGCAAGCACACCAAGGAAGCAAGGCTTGTCGAACAGGTGAGCCAACACTAAATGCTTTGGATCTCCCTGCACCAAAGTAACATTAAAGGCTCAAGTTAGAGATATCCCGAGGCCTATCTCCCACAGAACAGAGTAAATTAAAAAATATATCCATTCCAGCTGCCATGAGAATACATGCTAAAACAGAGATCACGCATACATAACTATTCTAACATGAAGTTCCAAATTATTTACAGTATACCAGCTGTAAAAACCAAGTTCAAGAGACAATTCACAGGACTCATAAAGTGAAGAATCAAGAAGAAGCTAAGGAAACTACATAGAGATTAGTATACTTACAGTTATGCTGAATAACTTGTAAAGGACATCATTCATGCCACCGGTTTCCTCATTGAGTGACCGATAATGCCTTTCCACACTGTAACTGGTAATAACGTTCTGAACTCGATTATCAAAGTAATCAACCATCCACTTCACCATTTTTAAAGCTTGAGCATCATCTGCAAATGTATATTGGTCCAAAAGACCTGCCAGGATCTGTCAAAGTCAACAACACAAATAGTTAGTCACATAACTTTCTAAACGATCACTACCACAATCCAATTGAGAAATTTTATAATACTCAAGGAGTAATTTCTCAGTTTGAAGAACCAACCTTATGAATAGTATAATAAGGAGCCCAGACAGGCTTTATGGCTTCAACCCGATCAAATAACTCAGACGGGAAAGCAGAAAGGTATCCGGTGCCCATTTTCTCCTGACAGGCAGATAGAGCAGCTACTACTGCAGACATCTTCTTTTTGAGAGTATCATTGTGAGTACTAGCCCACATCTGTGCTGATGCACTCAAGTAGTGCCCTTCAACATGCCAAATCAAATTTGTTAGTCATAAAACTATATGGACTAATATTTTAAAAGTAACACAAGAACGGAAAATAAAAGGAACTCAATTTCACACAAAAATGATGACAATGACGTAAAAGAATATCCATAGTTCTGCAATCAAGAAAGAAAAACTTTCATGTTGTCTAGCATAAACTCATCTTTAAATAGTTCTTATTAAACCTCCATTGCTTTCCAGTGGGAACAATTTGCAGTGTGTTTATCAACAAGGAAGAAAATCCACCAACAGTAGATGTGTATTCTTGACTCCTTGTACCATCACAATTCAAAATCTAGATAAATATTACTTTTTAGCCAAACTACAGAGCAGGGAGGCAAGAAGAATAATTGAAAAAAGCGAAAAAAGCGATCTTTTCAATATGGAATTAACTAATAAATAAGAGTTAATAACTTATTCTCCCAAAAGAAGAAAAGTACAAAAAACAGATAAAAAGCAAAACAAGAATACTGTAACATTGATTATCTGCGCTTTCCAAAAGTGTGTCAAGGGCCCTTCTTTGAATGTTCAGAGTTATGGGAAAAGATAAACGTATTAACAGAATAATAAACACTAAATTCACGATCATCAGAAGAAACTAACCCACAAAATGTCCACGAAGCTCGCAATCTGGAGCCTCCCAGCCACCATAAGCTGTGCCTGGAGTAGACAAACCTGCAGTTTTCCTAAAGCTCCACACCAAGCTATCCACATCCAACATCAACAAGTACTCCAAATTTGTTTGTTGAGCCTGCCAATGGATTGAACTTGGATCCAATCTCACATTATGCAATGACACTTCCTTAAGGAAATTTCCAGAGGATTTCAACGGACTTTTGAAAGTTCTATACATCATTGCCCAACTATACTCATCTTCTTCTCTCAAAATCTTTCTTGGCAACAAATTAGCCCAAGCTGAATCATCAGTAGGTGTCAAATGATAGTGCTCAAACATTTCTTCTTTCCAAGTTTCATTCTTTGATGATAACAGTGCATACCGAAATGTATGTGACGATAACTGAGTAGGAGTATTTGTACACTCCTTGCTCGTACCAAAACCACATAGCATACACAACACAACCAAAACTAAGAAACCCTTCATTTTTCTTTCCATTCGCATAAATCACAGTTTAAGCAATGAGCAGAGCCACAAAAGAACAAGTCTTTTGAGTTCAAATTCAACTAAAAAGAATCAAAACATGAACTTTAACAAAAACCCAGAAACCAAAACCTCAAACTTTACTAAAATTCATCAGAAACAAAGCTCGAAACCATCAAATTCAAGTAGTACTCATCTTATAAACCCAGAATTGTACAAGACAGACCACCAAAAAACAAAGCAAGAAACAATCAAAACACAAAAAGTCTTGAACGGATGAATAGAAAAACAGGGCACGTGAAGTCCCTATATATATATACACACACACAGCAAAAAAAAAAGCCAAGAAAGGGTCCAAACTTAAGCTAAGAAAGACTAAAAGCTACCACTCCTCCTACTACTCTCTTATCATCTCGTGAAAGGCAAGAATTTGATTTCGTGTACATTACCAAAAAAAAAACAAAAAACAAAAAATAATAATAAAGAATGTGTAATATATATATATATATATATATATATATAGAGAGAGAGAGAGAGAGAGAGAGAGAGAGAGAGAGAGAGAGATTCACAGTAGATAACAGGGAGTATAAAATGACAGAGAAGAATCACGGATAAGGTGTCGGGTTCTATGGAGGGTTGGTTATGACTAAAGTTTGCTTGACTGGTAACAGGAATCTGAAGTACCTGTGAACAACTGGTGACAAACACAGAAGAATTTTCTTTTTATTTATTATTATTGTAGAGTAAAAATTTAGCCGTTAAAAGGATTCTATTTTTTTTTTAAATAAAAAAAATATATAGTCGTAAAAATTTTCAGTTCCCGGGGTTTTTTGTTGGCTGTTACTATTTTTATTAGATATTTAGATTTGGAACAAGAAGAGAAAACAGATTTTTTTTTTTTCAATGTTAGAGTATTCGATAGTTAATTTTGGTAAAAATATTTTGTTTCTTCTCAAGTTTTAGATAAATCATCTCATCAAATCAATAAATTATCAAAGAAAGTTCTCATTATTTTCTTGATTACTATCAAAACGAACGTCAAAAGGGTAGAATTTGCAAAATATTTTATGAAAGTATTCACAAGCTACTTTAGATTTTCATTATCAAGTTAATTGGCGGATATGATTTCTTTCTCTTGTTTTCTTATACAATAGTTACATGGTATTTTTAATTAGAGTGATGCATAAATTATCTCTATCTTTTTCTTTAATAAAAAATTTATCAATATCAACATTAAAAAATATTTAAAATGTATTCTCATTCATTTATTTGCTTGTATATATTTGCAGGTAATAAAATATTTTTAAATTAATTTTTATAAAAATTAAAAATTAATTTATTATTTTTTTAAATTAGATCCATATTGAATCATAATATTACATTTAAAACGAAACTTAATTGATAATTTGAAAAATAGTAATTGTGCCAACTTGCCCACCTAGGCCTACCCTATCATTGCTTTTTGAATGAATTAGAACAATTCCTCGTAACTTAGGCCCACTTTTTCTTTTTCTTTTTTCTTTTTTCTTTTTTTATAACATTGGAGAAGTACGGTACTCTTTCATGACGCATTCTTGCACTTATTGGGGAAAAAAACTAACTTAAAGTGGTCGGATGGATTAAAAGTTCCATATTTATGCTCTCAAAAAAAAAAAAAATCCTTGCAAATTAGCATTTTACTTGGATGATTCTTTCATCTTTTCATAGAATGAATGTTTGGTAGATTTTTCACATAAATTTTTTAAAAAATATTTCAAAAAATAATTATGGATATTTATTTTATTTTTTAGTATATCTCAAGTTTAAAAATATAAACTAATCTCTTATTATTATGTATGATGTATAACATGAAAAAAACTAACAAATTATATATATATATATATATATAAACTCAAATTTAAAATTATTTATTTAAATAATTAAAATTTCTTTCATTTAAATGAATCTATCAAAATTGAATCTATTTATTTCATGAATCTATTTAAGTAGCTTTCTTGGATAGGACCCACTGAGATTCTAGAAATAATGAAGAGGGGAAGAAGGAAGGAAAAGGACAATCAATTCATATATATTTTAGACTTAGTTGGTTCCAATTTATCCAAAGGGACAACTCATACATCCAAGTTGAAGAAGAGATTGAGAGAGACGGTATAATATCATGTGATGTGAGGCCAGCTGAGTTGCAATTGGATAGCACAGATGATTCAATACTTCCCAGGAAGAAAATCACACTGCCTGTTAATAATGGAAAGTATGACATCTTGCTATTGTCACAACAAGTTCCTGATATTTATTGCAAACGTAACTGATATATGAATTTGCCTCTACAATTATATCTTTTTTTTTAATTATGTCTAAAAATATTTTCGAATCAATTTATATGTCAATTAAGATTAAATATTTTCTTCAAATAATTTTCAGAAATATATTTTTTATATTAGCATGATATATTTAGAATAATTTAAAAATTTTCATTGAGTGTATATATTTTTTTTATATGTATATATTCGATAAAAAAGTTAGATGGGTCAAAGCTATCCTAATTTTAGTTCATTTGAGAGCGAATCGATCAACAAACTTTTAATTTTGAGTTTAATGTGTCTTGAATTTTATTTTTTTATATTTAGTTCATTATATAGTTTTTGTTTATCATTCTCTCTTTTAAAAAATTTTGCATTAAAATTTTATGCACACGTTGTGAAAAATCCATTCTATATTTTCAAAAAAAAAAAAAATCCTGAATTTTTCAGCATTTGAAAGTATATATTTTTTTATTTTTAAAACAGTAAAAATATAAAAAAAATTATAAAAAATAGAAAATATTTCGAAACGATTCTAAATTTTTTAGAGAGATACACTAAATAATTTTCTTCATGAAACTATTCATGTTACTGTTAATTTGTACAGAAAACTGAAAATGAATGCATAAGGACAATACAGCAGACCAACATTAAGATCATCTATAAGTATCATATCTAATTTTGACTAAGGTAGCCCTTGTTTTCTAATAAAACAAACGTATCTAAATGGAATATTGTATGGTCATAATTGTTCTGTGACTGCTAACAATACCTTCTCGTTACACAAAGCTCTTGCGTTGGGACATTTGCATTGAATATCTTTCCACTTCTGAAGAGAAACCATATACTTGGTTGGCTGTTCTTGCTTCCAACTACCTAGGGTAGAGCATTGGACAACTTGCACAGAAATGTATCGTCTGAACTAGGTGATAATACATTAGTGGGGCAGGAAAAGACAACATGGTAGTCCCTCCCACATTTCGATCATACTTCTTTTTGTTTCTCTACATGTTATCATTGAAGCATTGAGAATTTGAGACAAGATAATACTAATAATCTAATAATTCTGATCAGTTCAATCAGTAAATCAGACACTTATCAAAAAAATAACTAGTCCTCATCCATAATCAACTACTGCGGCTACTGTTTCTTCTATTTGTTATTCTTGTTTTGTTTAATTTTTAAAGTTAATTTTTTTGAATATTTTATCTATTTCTTTGAAAATTAGATATGGTTTCTTTTGTATTTAAAAGTCCTTATCAAACCAATAAAGATTGAGCTTCACATTTTTCATATTTCTCTCTGCATCTTTACAGTATCAAAGCTCTGCAAAAACTCTAGTGAGTGATCCATTTTTTTGCCCACCCACTTCCCTACAATAATGTCAATCATTCAAACTTTCGTGCAAGTCATGGACTACTTGGCAGAGACAGATAACTCCACTCAACTTATCCAATTTAACCCAATCTCCTAATTGCCAATCAAACTACTTGGCAGCCATAACTTCACCACTTGGAAGGCTCAATTCGAAATGCTATTGCACGCCCATGATTTATATGGTTATCTCGATGGGTCCAAACCTGCACCTCCATAAACCATCACTAAAGGCACTTGGAAGAGGAAGTATTCATGCGACAACCACCAGGTTCGAAAATTCAACTCTCCCAAATCATGCCTACAAGTTAAAAAAAGAAAAAAAGAAATCTATGGCCTCAAACAAGCATCCAAAGCCTGGTATAATGAGCTGAAACAATTTCTTCTACATATGGGTTTTCGTCAGTCCACCTCTGACAATTCCCTCTTCACCATGCACACTTTTGGCATTGTTGTTTACATTTTAGTGAATGTCTATGGCATAGTTGTTATGGGCATCCATTCAAACATCATTAGCCAGGTGATTACTATTTTAGCAAAAAGATTCTCCATTAGAGACTAAGGTACTCTTAATCATTTTTTGGGTGTTGAAGTGATTCACAAGCATGATGGTCTAGTTCTTAATCAAACTAAATATATCTTGGACCTTTTGCGTAATACCAGCATGCATGACAATAAAAGAGTCTCTACTCCAATGAGTTTAGGTTCAGCTCTTACCTTAAACAGTTAAGCGCCTACTGTAGAACCATCAGAATATCGCAGTATTATTGGTAAGATGCAATGCAATATCTATCATTCGCTAGACTGGATATATGCTTCACTGCTAAGAAATTGTACAGTTCATGCACTCCCCAAAGAAGTCTCACTGGCAAGCAGTAAAACACCTCCTATGATATCTCAAGCAAACCATGTCCTTTAGGCTCAAAATTACTTGTGACTCTACCTCTGCTCTCTTTATGTATTCAGATTCTAACTAGGCTGGCAATCCAAATGATCGCATGTCAACCACTATATATATCTTGTATTATGGTGTCAACCCTATTAGTTGGTCTTCTAAAAAGCAACAAGTGATGGCAAGATCCTCTTTAGAGGCCGAATATCGAGAAGTTGCAAGTACTTTGGCTGAAACAAACTGGGTAATGAATCTCCTATCTGAACTTCAAGTCTCTCTTTCGGGTGAACCTATAATCTTCTGTGACACTGTGGGGGCTACTGATTTGTGTCACAATCCAATTTTTTCATAGTCAAATGAAACACATTGCAATTGATTTTCACTTCACTGGGGAACAAGTCTAGCAAAAATTCATGAATGTTCTTCATTAGTCAAATGATTTTTTTTTT